AAAAAAGAAAAAGAAAGATGTAGATATATAGAGAGGGGGTAGGGACAAGAATCAGCATAAAAACACCATCATGCGTCTTGACAATTAGGGAAGGAAAGAAATATGAGCATTAAATTATGGTGCTTGGGATGGGACATATTTTGAAAAGGCCTCTCTCTCAAAGTTCATGAACCTCTCCAACGCTTTGCTCAAAAGCAACATTATAAATTTCACTCAAATCAACCGTTTTCCTTCCACCAATAAGAAGATATTTCTTGCACTCAATTGAATTCCTCCTTTCGAGATGCATTGCTCCCTCCCTCCCTCCAACTACGTCAAGGAAAATTCCTTCAAGAATTTAGAAAACAAAACCCAATTGGACTCATCTATTCACAAACTTTAGAAAAATGAATCCCAATTGGACTATTCTTTTGAACAATCAACAATCTCCTTTTGCGAACCATGTGATAAGAGAGAGAGCCACTTGACCTGTCTAATGAAAAATCAAGAATCAAATTCTCATTTTCCCTTATCAAAAGTGGTGCAAAGATTGGAAGAATTTTAGAGCCTACTAAATTGTATGTTTAATTTTAGCATAATAAGATGATGATCTTCATTCCCAGCAAGGCTGGCAACAGGTTGGGCTTGGCCTAGGCTGGACTCAGCCGTATAGGGCGGGCTAGGCCTTGGCCGAGCCTGAAATTAATAAAAAAAATAAAAAATTGAAAAAAGGAAAAAGTAGGCCGGGCTGGATTGGCACTGGCCAAACCTTGTCCTGAAGCCATAGTTGGTGTCCTAGACCCTACTCTTTTAGGGCCCGGCAGCCCGGCCCACGGCCAACCCTAATTCCCAAGCTCTTGCTAATTGAGTATTTTATTTTATTTCTTCTCTTTGGATATTAGGATTTCATTGAAATTAGGAAAGGAATTTATATTCAATTCTTATGTTTTGGGAAATTACATACCCGAAAAGGAAAACTAGGACATCTAAATTATTCGTGAGGGAAAAAAAAAAACAAACAATGACCTATTTAAACTGGAAAGGTGTGGCATCATTTGAGTCGTCCACTTCACCTCCACGAAGTGTTTCTAAGGAAAATTCTGTAAACTATTTTTGTGTAAACGTCGCCAGTAAGTGTGATGTGGTCATTATGTGTAATTACTTCGTTACTTAAAAGTGGTATTCTCATTATAGGGCGGGAATTGGGTCGGGTCTTCCATGACGTCCTCATGGGTCTGGGTGGACCCAAGTTTGGACCTAGCAGATCCGGTCCTGACCGATTTGACCGTGGCACAGCCCAAATCAAGTTCGGGTTCATCGGATCGGGTCCAGGTTAGGGTCAACTTGACCAGCATGCCTTTATGTGCATTAGTATAAATACATGCTAATACTATTAAGTATTCCAAAAACATAATGGGTGTGCTTTGTATAAAGCGGAGGCCCTAGAAACTCAAAGTAAGGCGCACTGTCAAATGGTATCGAAAGATGTTGTTTCAATACTGAAAATATCTGTAATGGCCTGAAAATTTATTTTCGTCTCTAATTATAAAATTTTAAGCTTGGAAAATAGTGTAGATCAAGGAGATCTATGAACACTTAATATTCTTGAAATTTGAGGGTCCAAAAATGCATTACAAGATGCACTATGTCCAAGACTTGAAATCCTTTTTTTCTTCTTTCAATGCATATTGATGTCGAGATGATCAATTGGAGGATTTTTGGGCATCAAAACAACCTTTTCTATTGAAATTTTTGAGGTGTACCTTGATTTGATCGTTTAGGGTCACGTCCTCGTATAAACTTTTTCCATATAAAATACTTGCTTATACTTTAATCAGGGGAAAATTTCACCTTTAGATTTTAAATGTTCAAAAAAGAAAGTATATATTTATATTTATAAACCTAGATCTTACTCCAACCGTGTTGGATATGAGTCCAAGGTCCAATCTAGATCCTGATTGAGGTTGGATCATAGTTAGCAAGTCTTCGTTTAAAGCACAAATGTTTTATACAAAGAGTAATGATCCTATGAGACCCTCCTACATCCATGTGTGTAGGACCCCAAATGAACACCATTAAATTTGATACATATCTTTAGAAAAGTTATTACATGAGTGTGGGACTTGACTTTTCTAGATACCTGTGCCAAATTTAATGGTGATCCTTTGGGGTCATACACACATGGGTGTGGAAAGGGTCTCATAGGATCATTACTCTTATACAAATCTCCAATTATTTCAAAAAAATTCCGATTTCTTGAATTCCATTAAGAGCTCAGAGTTTTTTTTTAAAGATCTTCAAAAAATCACATTTTTTTAATGGAAACGATGTAAATTCTCATTTTATCTTTTTTCAAAAACCTTCTTCCCTATAACTTTTCTCTTTGTTGACTTAGTATCTTTGAATTTTTGTTTAGAAATAAGCACATTAAGTGTTGGATTAAATGAAAAATCTTAATTTTAAAAAATTTCCCAACAGTAAATCTCACCAATATGTTCACTTTAAAAAGTGCAATACCTCCAAACAATAATTCATCAAAACACAACCATATATCTCAAAATAATAGTTAGATTTAAAGGAAGCATAAACTCATAAAAAAATCTTTTTTTTTTTCCTTTAAGCGCAACGTCAATATAAAGAGCAGTGACAACTCAAGATTTAATCAGCTAGAAATTTCAAATCAAGCTTAGAATATTTGGATTTGCTTTAGCATTTTATTGCTTTCTTTCTCTGTACAGAAGTTTGAACAATTCGAACTTTTCAAAAAAAAAAAAATTTATTTCACTGATGTATATAATATATTTATGTTCTTGGGTTTTTATACAAGTGTAATCCTTTATTGAGGGTCATTTTTGTTTTATTTTCCTTCGACAACAATCCTATACCTTAGGTTACCGTTCTTATTGTTTGCTAATGCAAATTTTGTGTTTAGTATTGTTGTTATTTTATTTTCTGCTGCCAATAGAGTACGTATTGTTGACAATAGAGTATGTATTGTTGGTATATTTAATAAAAGTTTAGACAAAAATTTATCAAGTATGCCTGTAAATACTAGGAAAGGACATAAAAACGATCGTCCATAGTTTTAACGTAGGATGGGGTTTCCATGAGTCGGTCGATTCATATGTACATATGTGCCCCGCAACTAACATTTATTTTAGATGATTTTTTTTCAAATTGTTTTTGTAGATTCATCATCTAGGCCAAGATGATCATAAATACGAAACGAAAAAAAGACTTTTAAAAATTTAAAATATAGTTTTTTGGTATTTTTTTAATGGACCCTCCATATCTTATTTAAGGACCATACACTTTAGATAACGTCTATCTTTAGGATGGACGTTTGTAAGTCAGTGCCGCTGAATCGTGAAACAATTTTCTTTTAATGTATCTACTTATAATCTTATATTTTGTTATCTTTATAATCCAATTTTTTTACTATGTTTTTTTTCCAGCCAAACCCAAAATATTCACAATTCTCTAACTTACCAAAATTTGACAATCCGTATTTTTTATCCAATTTTTTGCCACTAACTTTTTTAGGATATTTTAATGGGTGTGGTTTGTATAGAGCCTAGACTCTAAACAATCAATTTAGAGCTTACTTTCAAATAGTATCAAGAAATGTAGTTTCAAAATTGAAAATCTTTGTGATAGCCTTAAAATATATTTTCATCTTTATTTATAAAGTTTAAAGCTACAAAAATAGTGTAGATCAACAGATCAATAAAAACTTGAAAATATTGAAAATTGATAGTTAAAAAATATGTGTTTCAAAATACACTATTTCCAAAACTTTGAAATCTATTTTTTTCTCATGTGATTTATTTGAGGATATTTAGGATTCCAAACACCCTTTCCTAGTGAAATTTTTGAGGTAAGCTCTTATTTGATTGTTGAGAGCCTTGATTCTATATAAAATTTTTCCTATTTTAATTGGGAAAGTATAGAATGAGACAATTTACTTTTGTACAAGATGATCATAATTAATCTTGACCGTTAGATGCCAAATCGGGTAGCTGCATTTATTTGATTGAGCAAGCTCAAAATTCAAATTTTTTTTTTTTCGAATTTTACGAGATACTTATGTAATTGTGAGATCCCTATGCAAAAGGTAAATAATCTCATTTATACGCTCCCATTTTAATTTAGCCCGTTATTTTCCGACTCGCTAACCATAATCCAGGTCCAACCCCTACCTAGTCACGTCCACGTGGACCAGAACACGACGCCATCCAATCGCATCAGCATGATTTGTCACTGCAAACCAATCACCCCTCAGATACAAAGAATTAGAGTTAGAGAGAGAAAACAGAGTGAGTTAGAGAGAGAAAACAGAGCTCGTCAGTTTAGAGAGGGAAAGGGAAAGATGTTGGTGGGTGTCTAACATTTGACAAATTGGGGTCAGCTTAAAACTAGTCATGGAGAGAGAAATGCGGTCAGGTTACAGTGAAAAGTAAGACAGAGGGGTTTTCCGTTTAGACTTAGAGAGAGAAAGTTGGGAGGTCAGCTAAGAGTGAGAATCAGAGAATGTGGATGGTATCCGCTTAGGAGAAGGGCCCAGCTAAGAGGAAGAGAATGAAGAAGGCATCGGGCCTCGGGGTGGCAACAGGTTGGGACCGGCTCGACCGGGACCCATATCCGAATAGCACGTGGGTTCGGATTTTGGATTCCGAGCTGACCTGTCTTGCACCCATATTTATTGGTTTTGGGATTTGAACGGGTCCCTTACCACCTTCACTATCAGGCTTTTTTTTTGTGCCCCTCTTTACCTTCATATATTTATAATATTAGCAACAACGTGAATTTTTATTTTTTACGTTGTTTAATACACCCAAATGAATATATTTTATCTTAAATAGCTTATTTGTACACAAATGGTATTCGGATCCAAGTTTTGGATGTGAACTCGGGCTCACCGTATTGTATCCATTTGGGGGTGTACCTGACGGGTGTCCAGGGTCACTGGCAACCCTATTTTGGGCCGGCCAAGAGAGGGAGAGGGTTTTAGAGAGAGAAAGAGCGGTGGGAAAAGGGGCGTCCAGGTTCTCCTCATGTTCCAAATACGTAACACAATGAAGGTGACCATGGGTCCACACCTTGACCTTTTCGGCTTTACTCATTTATTTGCTTTTTGCAAAACCACTCTGGAGAGGAAATTGTTTTCTTTGAATCCATTTTTGCAAGAAGCAGCGTGAGCAGGAGCAGGAGCATGGCATGGTCTTTGAAAATCTGCTGAATCCGCTGACCTTCGACCCCACCTTCTCTTTCTCTCTCTAAAAAAACCCCTTTCTCTCTCTATCTTTCGTTTCTCTCTCTAAAAGCAACAGCACAAAATATCTTCTCAACACCCCTCTCTCCGAGCTCTGGCAATGGCAGGACCAAAAAGTCTAGCAAATTTGGGATAACCCATTTCGTGTCTCTGGACTCTGTACCCAAAAATGCAATGGTTTTGGAGTTTTTGCTACATGGGTTTTGCACTTTCTCTCTCTAGAGCAATCCTTTATCTGGGTGCTGGTCGTCGATCTGGGTGCAGTGCATGTAATGTTGAAGAAGCTTTTATTACCGATAGGGTGGGGGATCTGTTTGCCTAATATAGGTTGCATAAGGGGAAGAGCAATTTTCCTCTCTCTAAAATAAACCCTCGTAGCATGCAGTGGGCTGCTTAAGATCGGCCTATGGTTTTCTCTCTCTAAATTCCTCCTTACCAGAAGCAGTTAGAAAAGGGGAGGCTTTTTCGATTTTGCAAGTGGATTGTTTTGAACATTTTCAATTCTCTCTCTCTCTCTCTCTCTCTCTCTCTCTCTCTCTCTCTCTTCTCTCTCTAGAAGAAGAAGATCGCCTAATGAAGTGCTCACAGAGAGGTCTGCTTTATGCCCAAAGAGAATGGCTGGTATTCTAACTCACTCTGAATCTCCTCGCCATGGCTACTTCTTATTGATCTGCTTTCTTGCAAATTAGGGGTTTTTATAATTTCTATGAGGAAATAATTGCCTTTTCTTTTGCTCTTCTTCTTTACAAGATTTTCAATCGTAGTGGATCGATAGTATTTCTTTAAAACCTTTGTGGATTGCTTCTTTGGTTTCATACTACTGATAAAAACTCAAGCGTTACTCCTGAAGATTGATGGAACCTCTGATGCTAAGTTGAAAGCAGCTGGGTCTGGTTCTCTATTTGGCTTTTGAAGTTTAGGGTTTATCACATATTTTGTATCAGAAAAGATCCTCCCTCTTTCTCTGTCTCAATCACTAAAACTGTAATGGGTCTTGATCTTTCCATTTAGTGGGAAAAACCCAATAAGGTTTCTGGGTTTTGATCACTCATGAGGGGGCAATCTTCTCCCCTGAATTCTCTCTCTGAAACGAAGTTTTGATGCAATGTTAAGAGCAGGGTGGCCTGGCCTATTGATCTCGTGTTACCTGTTACTCTCTGTATCTGCGACTGATCGAGAATTCCCCTGTTCAAATTGTGATGATGATGGTCTTTGGAGTATCGCCACCATTTTACAATGGCAAAAGGTGAGTGATTTCCTCATAGCCTTGGCCTATTTCTCGATCCCCCTTGAACTCTTTTACTTCATAACATGTTCAACTGTGTTCCCTTTTCGATGGGTCCTTGTTCAATTTGGCGCATTCATAGTCCTTTGTGGACTAACCCACTTTCTAATGGGTTGGAGTTATGCTCCACATTCATTTCACCTGGTTCTAGCCCTCACTGTGTTCAAGTTTCTCACTGCTCTTGTTTCCTCTGCAACTTCGATCACCCTGGTTACTCTGATCCCCCAACTTCTCAAAGTGAAAGTGAGAGAAGGGTTTCTTAGGAAGAAGGCCAAGGAGCTAGATAGAGAAGTGGGCAGGATTAGAAAAAGAAAGGAAGCGAGTTGGCATGTTCGTATGCTTACCAACGAGATCAGAAAATCGCTTGATCGCCACACCATTCTATACACGACTCTAGTTGAGCTCTCTAAGACACTAGCCCTGCAAAATTGTGCGATTTGGATGCCCAATGATCAGAAAACGGAGATGAATTTGACCCATGAACTAAAACGAAGGGATGTGAAGCTTTCGATACCGGTAAATGTTCCGGAAGTGGTTGAAATAATAGGAAGCAAGGGTGTAAAGGTTTTGGGACCCGATTCGGTTCTTGGGTCAGCTAGTAGTTGTGGATTCACTTGTTATGGTTCGGTTGCAGCCATTAGAATGCCTATGCTTAGGGTCTCAAACTTCAAGGGGGGAACACCTGAGATGATTGAAGCATGGTATGCTGTTCTTGTTTTGGTTCTTCCTGGTGAAGAGCAGAGGATTTGGGGCCAGCATGAATTAGAGATCGTTGAGGTGGTCGCTGACCAAGTAGCGGTTGCTCTCTCTCATGCTGCAGTGCTTGAGGAGTCTCAGCTGATGAGAGAGAAACTTGTTGAGCAAAACAGAGCACTGGAGCAAGCTAGGCGAGACGCCCTAATGGCTAGTGAGGCTAGGAGCTCATTCCTGAAGGGGGTTAGCCATAGCCTAAGGAGACCCATGTACAATATCTCTGGTCTTCTCTCTATCTTACAACTCGAGAATTTGAGCTCCGAGCAAACACTGGTTGTCGATACTTTGATAAAAACTAGTAGTGTTCTTTCATCTCTCATCAATGATATAATGGAGGTTTGGACAATTGATCATGTCCGAATGGGTAGCCTTGAGCTAAGGCCTTTTAGGCTTCACTCCATGGTTAAGGAAGCTGCAAGTTTAGCGAGGTGTTTGTTTGCTTGCAAAGGGGTGGGTTTTACAGTTCGGGTCGGAAACAGGGTTCCTGATAGAGTAATTGGAGATGAGAAGAGGATTTTCCAAGTGATTTTGCATATGTTTGGGAGCGTGCTCAATGGCCCGTGTCAAGGTGGGATTGATTTTAGAGTTTCCTCAGAGGATGGGAGAGAGGCAGGCCAAGATAGAATGAGGCTTCCCTGGAAATCAGACTCATCTGATGGGTACATGTATTTGAGATTCGAGATTTTGGAGGGAGGCTCTGAGCCTGACGCTATGGGTTTAACGTCTCAGAATGCAAGGAAGCCTAACAGTGAGGGCATTGTGCAAGGGCTTGGTTTTACAATGTGCAAGAAGCTTGTGCAGGTGTGGCTTTCTTTTTCCTTTTCTTTTCTTTTTGAGTAATTAGTCTTTCCTTTGAGTGGTTGCGTTTTCTTATTTGTTCTTTCTAAGCCTTGTCTTTGATGCTTGTAGTCTCGCACTTTTATTTTGTGTTTTGCTGTTGTTGGCAATTACTACATATATGAAAATTGGACTTTAGATGCTGATATTCATGCACTCTACCAATAAGTCGAGCTCCTAAAGGTGAACAAGTTTACCATAATTATCGTACTACTTATTTTGTTCTTGCGATGGGCTTTCTAGTCATATTTAGCTCTTAGTCGCACATTGAATTGTTGTTCAAATCCTATACTTATCAAAAAATTTAAAGAAAGGGATATATTACTCACTCAAAAACATTCAGTCACAACTAACACCCAGTTTTCTCATGAAAACGAATAATAAATGAAAGGTACTGAAAGGTCAAGAAAATGATTTATTTCATTGAAATTAACGAACTCCAACATTTTCCGTAATTTCATGTTGGAAGATCCAAAAAGGAAACTCCGATGGAAAGTTTACCGTATATAACCAAAAGAGAGAAAATATCATAAAGAGTAAACTCTTTCCTTTAGTTACAATCCTTTTCTTCTGTAAATTCTTAAAATATGTAATTTGGTAAACTGCTTCGCACTTATGTCTGATGTTTCTGCCTTTTTTCTGCTGAAGTGAGTATCCCTGAATGTGCCGGTTTTGCCTAAGGGTTCTATTTCTTCCCATAACCCGAACTTCCCAAAAAATGACCTTCTCTAAGATCTAGTGAATGCTTTGACTATGATAAAATCATTATTTCTATAACCAATGCCTAGAATGTAGTCAGAAACAGATGATACAAGGCTTGAGTCATTTGAGGTTCATGGATTTTAGCTCACTTTGATCTTTTTATTACTGTGTTTTTGTAATTGAGGTACTGAATAATGTAAATGTTTACAAGTACCCTCATACTGAGATGGACTTCCAAGTATTATCCTTCAACTTTCACCATATTTTCAAACAACAGATTTCCGCTTGATGATTTATACTGATGAGCTTGTTGTTCGATTAGGAATAGGGCTTCGCCAGTGTGATTCAGCTGACTCTGTCTAAACTGTTTCTCTTCACAATGAAATCCATAACACACGTACACAGACCCGGTGGGGGGGGGTGCAGGTGGAAGGTTGGGCAGGAACCTTGTTTTTCTTTCATGGAATTGTGTTGTTTCTCTTGAAACTTTTATCTTGGTTGATGTAGACTGAAATGACTATCATCTAGAAATTGCCTATAACAGAATTATAAGATGTTATTCATGTGGCTGAAATTTGTGAATGGATGGAGCAGTATCTTTATAACTGGCAAAATTCTACCCATAGCTGGAAAAAATGTGGAATCAGGTTTCTGAAAACAGCCTGCCTAGGCAGTGCCTTGAGGTGAGCCAAGGTGCTGAGTGTCCTGTTTCCTATGGTCAGGGACCTTCAGGTGCCCACCTAGGCGGCATAGGAGCCACTTTGTTTAAGGTGGCTGCCCCCAAGCCCATGTTGAGGGAAGAAATAGACCTCTGTGAAGGAGGAAAGATGGTCATTTCCAGTGTTTTAAATAGCGGTCTGCCTATAACAGAATTATAAGATGCTATTCATGTGGCTGAAATTTGTGAATGGATGGAGCAGCATCTATATAACCCGCAAAATTCTACCCATAGCTGGACAAAATGTGGAATCAGTTTTTTGAAAACAGCCCGCCGAGGCAGTGCCTTGAGGTGAGCCAAGGTGCTGAGTGTCGTACTTTGCCAAGGGGAGCACCTAGGTCGGGGACCTCCAAGTGCTCACCTAGGCGGCATAGGAGCCACTTTGTCTTAGGTGGCTGCTCCCAAGCCCATGTTGAGCGAAGAAATAGACGTCTGTGAAGGAGCAAAGATGGTCATTTCCAGTGTTTTAAAAAGCAGATTGCCCAGCTCCTAGGCGGTCTAGAAGACCTGGGCACCTCGCCTTGGCCTGGGCAGCTAAATTAGGTGAGATGTCCCTGGGCACCCACCTAGGCGTCAAGGAACCTGCCCAAGCAAGCGCCAATGCCCAAGGCGTGCCCCCCGCCCAGAGGCGGAAAGACCCCTCATTGAGGGCATTTTGTGGTCTTTTTTTAAATACTAAAGGGGCAAAATCGTGAGTTTTAGGTTAAACTTAAGCACCATTAGAGCCTATTTTAGAGAGAGAAAAACTCCAAAAAACTAGTTTTTGATGATTTACATAGGATTGAAAGGTTTCTCAAAGTTACGAGATATTGATCTAAGCATCACCCATTGATAGTAGATTTAGTGGACTATCTGTGTATGGACTTATGAAGTATGGAGGAGTGTGTGCTATGTGGGTGTATTATACATTTGATGTGCCCTAATCCCTAACTCTTATGTGTTATACAATTATACTGTTAGACTATAGAGACATTTTTCTTTCAACTAGGCTGCCAAGGTTCTAGGCGCTCGCCTAGGCCCCTAACATTTTTTGAGACACTGGTCGTTTCCCCTCCCAAGTGAGGGATTTTTTTTTTTTGAGAGACGGGGCGGGGGGGGGAGAGGAAGGGTGTTTGGGGGTATTTATCCCCTGAAAATCTAATAACAAAATTTAAAGTCTTTTGAATTCTTACAAAACCCAAAAGGATGAAAACTGATTGATTGTGAGACTTGATTGAGATGGTGGTGATGCTCATGATGAAGCTGTGGACCACAATGAAGCTTGCAATTTGAAACTTGATTTCGTTTTTTGTCGTTCTGGGTAGTTAGGAGTAGACTTACATGTCTTATTAGCCCTGTATTTGTTTGTATGGTTTGTTTAATGGATAACGCCTAATGCAACCTATGGTACATATTCACAATGTTGTCTGACTGATTACTTTTTATTTTAAGTTCAAAATTTGAACTTGCACGAGTTTCAATTTCTAGATTTATAATATTTCAAGTCCAAGCTCATTTGTTAGGGGTTTTGGTGTTAACCCCAAACCCCTTGAGACATCTGAGCCCCACCACACTCTATCAAGGGTGCCTCATTCATGAGGGGCCCTATTAGGTGTCCAAGGTTCCTCTGGGTGGTGCTCTCGACTTTTTAAAACACTGATTTCCTTACTTGGATGACTTCAGTTACATTGAAGTTGGTTCGAAAATTGAGGAAGTCGGATGATCTCATTATTAGACTGTTTTGGGGGACCTAGTTGAATAATACAACCTGGAAATGTAGTGTTACATTTATCTATTGATAGTTGCAATTCATTAACAATCTTTTATGAATTTTTGTTTTCTTTTTATATCAGATACATGGAAAGTTTTAGTTTATGACTTATTTTTATTCATAGTATAAGTTAATGGACTGGCAATTTGAAGAAAAACCTTATTTGGGGGAATTTTGTTTTTTGAATTATGATATCTACAAATTGATACTAGCTACTGCTTGATTAATATGTACGATGAATCTCTTCTCTGAATTGTTAAGAATTCTCTACATTTTTTTTTTTTATAAATTTAATCGTATAATTGTTGTCTTCTAGAGAAATTTCTGACTGCTTTTTTCCAGCTGTTTTATTTCAAGTCCACTGATTTGAGGCTGATGTCTTGTGCTTCAAAACCAAAATGTTTTTAATCCAGTTTTGAGCTTTTTGAAAAATTTCATATTGCTCAAGAAATAGTGCTTGTATTACTAGCACTGAAAAGAAAAGAATAAATAAGCAATAATTTTGAAGTCATCTGTGAACGCTATTTCAAAAAATAAAATAAAATGAAGTCATTATAAATATTCCGATTTCTACATCCTGTCTGTCACAGAATTTAGGGATATTGATTCTGGTGACTTGTGGTGAAATCCCCTTTTATTTTAAATCAAATAATGGATGCTTTCCTACACTAAAATACATGAAAAAGACCATCAGTTTATCAGGGGGTGTGGTTTGTATAGGCTGACAACCTTATTTGTAAAAATAAGATTGCAATGTTCTACACCATTCATTTTAGTTGGAGGGGTTCCGATTTGACATGTCTTTTAAGACAATGTCAAAAAGTGACACATCTTCTAAGATAGTATCAAATGTATGCCACCCAAATAAAATGGATGGTGAGATTATTGCAACAACCTTACTTCTACAAGTAAGTTTGCATACTTCTATAAACTTTTTGCTTTATCAAGACACCACTTAAAAAGTGGTGAGTTTTTTTTTTTTCCTTGGGTACCTGGATGAGATTCTTTTGTCTGATTTTGTGTCCTGTTTGGGAGTATTTAAAAGCTTTCTTTTTTTAGAAAATTTTGACGGATTATTTACGTACTTTATTATTTGTCTTTTCTATTTGGAAGAGTGGATAGTTTTGATTCACTGATTTGTAATTAGTATGATATTTCTAGATGACTAAAGCTGTTCTGATATTCATTTTTTTTCCTTTTCTTTTTCTTTACATCCGAGTTGCAAAGATGACACTTTCGGAATAAAATTAGAAAATTCCTATTCTTATTGATCTTTTCCATCTGGAGGTCTTTTCTCTGACCTTTACTCGCGAGGCAAATGAACTGCAAAGTATGAGATTATGTCAACCTCTGTAAGATGTGTATTCACTTTTTTCTTCTCTTATTTGACAAATTTAGTGGTGTTTCTGTCATTTTTCCAATCTCCATGGGGTGCTTGTGCATGTCAGTGAGTGTGAGACATTTTTTTGCTGGTGCGTGCTTGTCTCATGTGACATAACATGTAAACGCATCTTTGTGTATCCTATTATGTAATAGCGATAACTATTTGGGGTTTGCCATTTGAACCAAGGCTTGGTCGTAGAACTGTTCGATTCATGCGTTCCTTTCTGTCTTCTCTCCAACTAATGAGTCCTATTTCTCCCTGTTCTTATTGATCGCAGATGATGCAAGGGAACATATGGATAGTCCCCAATTCTGATGGCCTTCTCAAAAGCATCTCTCTTGTGGTAAGATTACAACTTCTGCCACCAAGTCCTGCAATAACCGGTGATCCCAAATCTGCTGACAAACCTCCTGCTATTAACCTCCTCGAAGGCCTCCATGTCCTTGTTGCGGATGATGACCCAGTTAACCGTGCTGTAACTCTCAAAATACTCGACACTTTGGGGTGCCAAGTCTCCTCTGTTTCCTCTGGTTATGAGTGCTTATCAACTCTAGGCCACCCTGGAAAAGCCTTTCAAGTGGTGCTTTTGGACCTCTATATGCCTGATTTAGATGGTTTTGATGTCGGGTTACGGATAAGGAGCTTTAGAACTGGCGTGTGGCCTTTAGTGATTGCCTTAACGGCTAGTGCCGATGAAGATGTTAAGGACAGATGCCTCAAAATTGGCATGAATGGAGTGATAAAGAAACCAGTGTTACTGCATGGGATGAGAGAAGAACTACTGAGAATTCTTGAACAGGTGACTAAGATCACTTGAGAATTTTTCAGCAGTTGCTAAAGCTTTTGAGTATTAACGACGATTCTTTTTATCACATTTTTGGTGTACCCATCAAATAAGATTTTGGGGTCGATAGGCTGGCTGCTAGCACACGTTTTGCTGGATTTAAAATGCTCAGATCTGGCTCTCCCTTGATGCTCATACAATCTCTACACTTGTAATCAGCATGTGGATTACATGAGATAGGGATTAACAAAAGTTGACATGTTTTGGGAATGGTTGAGAAGTAGTGAAATCATTTTTGTCTAATTGAGATGTGTATTTGTCATCAAATCCTTCTTGAAGGGACCCCTCTGCTTATCAAGAAGTAAATAAATAAAACCCAACTTATAGAAGTGCTATTGATGCAGCATGTAACAACGAGCCCACTGTTCAAAACTGTTGATGATTGAGTGATTTTAGGACGGTCTGGAATCGAACGTTTGTAGCTTTACTCAGAATTTTCTCAAAAGGGTTTTTCCTTTTAATTCCACGTTGAGAAAACCATTGAATTATGCCAATTCTTGTGATAACTTCAAGCCAATTTGGACTCTTTTTTTATTTTTTTGAAGAAAAAATTAGATTTCAGCAAAATCATTTTTGAGAGGATTATGAGCGTTACAAACTTCCGAGATCATACTTTGTATGCAGTTTCATTTTAACCCTTCATCATGAGTTACAAAAGCGCAATTACCAGCGCCGTTGATGTTTCATGAGCAGGGAAGATGCAACTGGACACAGCTTTTCAGCTTCTAGAAAAAATACGGTTCCGAATATTACAACTAAAAAAAAAGAAAGTGAAATATGGGCATGAAAAACTACCGATATGAAGTGTTGAATTTTAAAATATGTGGACATATAATATTTTAAAATGGGCAAAAAATCCAAAATATCCTCATCATCCGAATTTTATCCATTGGGGACCAGCTACATGAATCTTGTTCTACCATTATGCTCTATTAAAGTCATTTTTTTAGTCCGACCAGAATGCCTAAGCATAAGTATATAATATACGTTTGTTCTACCATTATGTTCTATTAAAGTCATTCCTTAGTCCGACCAGAATGCCTAAGCATTAGTATATAATATACGTTTGTCTGACCAGAATGCCTAAGCATGAGCATATAACATACGTTTGTCTGACCAGAATGCTTAAGCATGAGTATATAATATACGTTTAAGATTCAGGAGAAGATGCGTAGAGTTTTATATTGGATGCCCTACTTAACACAACGCTCTTTTATCCGGGCTTCCAACCGGCATGTCTAGAATTAGACCAACTATTGGCTGAATCTTAAGCGATCAAAGTATGCAGCCTAGGCACCTGCCTAGCCCGGCATGACTAGAATTAGACCAGCTATTGGTCGAGGCTTAAGCGGTCAAACTATGCAGCCTATACACCCACCTAACCTAGCATGATTAGAATTAGACCAGCTATTGGTTGAGGCATAAGAAGTCAAAATATGCAGCTTGGGCACCCGCCTAAGTGGGCGCCCAATGCTGGTGGAAGCCATAGCTTGCGCCCTGCCCATGGGCGAAAATGTCATCTGTTAATTTCAAACCTAAGCTTCATTAGAGCCCATTTTAGAGAGATAGAAACCTTGAAAACTATTTTTTTTTGTCTTCATAGGATCAAAGGATTTCTCAAAGTTTGGATTATTGTATGGACTATGGAGTACATGGAATTTGGATTATAGTATGGACTATAGATATGATCTAATACTCTAATGTCTAATGATTTGAAGTTTAAACTTTAAATTCATAGAATTATAGTCTAAAAATATGTCTCAATATGAATTTTTAAATTTTTAACCCAAAATCTTACCTTAAAACAACTTTTTAGTCTACTGATTCGCCTAAGTTATGGGCCCCGCCTAGGCATTGGGCTCATTGGGACCAGCGATGGCGGAGTTAAAAATCCAAAATAAGAAATAACAGGGATATTTTTACACAAATGAGTACGTTAGAGCCAAGTAAAAATTGGTGTTTTTGTGGCTTTAAAGGCATTGGTTAATTGGAGGACATTTTGGCTATTGAAGATGCATGAACTATGACAAAATTAATTTGTGGGTCTTACCTTAAAAGAAAGTAAAGAGTATGGGAGCCCATCATGCTACCTTTAGGTGTTTTGTACCAGGAACACCGAAGGTTTTGCATTCTTGTTGGAGCTTTGGAGTGTTTAGTTCAGGGAAAATATTCTCAGAGGGACACGGTTTTGGTGAGTCAGTCACCACACCTATTACCGTACGGTCCCTAGTCTACTCACGTACGTCTCTAAGACGAATGTTAAAAAATGTTGCATCCACTAAAAGAAAAAATGTACAGTACAAAAAAAATTTAAAAAATACTATTTATATTTTTTAAAAGAGAAGAATTTGAAATTTAGATAGATGTCATGGTTGGGATTATTAAACTCTAAAATTTTAGATCGAAAATACTTCTTTGAGATATATTTCGTAAGGAGACTGCACAAGAATAGTGTGAGTCGACCGACTTACCAAATACTTTTCCTTCTTGGAGTGTTCAACTATGGGAAAATATGATTGAAGTGGTCAAACATCTTAAGAAATTAATTAGGTGGTCGAATAAACCAATTCATCAACAAATTTACTCAAGTATATATTCAATTGCTTATTTTAAAATGCCCAATTTATATATGCTATGGGTTTGGAATTTTGCACAAGTAGGGGTATTTTGATAATCTGAACCCAATTGAAGTTGAATTATTAAAACTTTCCCAATTATTTGGGTTCCAAATGAGGAGCATGATATTCTAAGTATTGGGTTTGGCACTTGAAAAATAATAATAGTTCATTATTTGGCTCGGGCCACTAAAATTCAACCAAATGATGTGCCACTTAAGGGGGACAAAATGATACGATTATCCATGCTTATTTTGGTTTCAAGAGATTTTTGATTGAGAAGATCTGATTTGGTTTTGGAACTAGAAACAAACATGTGTAATAACATCATTTAGCTTGGGCAGCATGGGTGAAATCAAATTTCTAAAATACTACAAGTTCAAGATTCCAAATCTTGAATAGGGGTATTTTGGGGTATATATTTAGTAAAATGGATGAAGAGGTATTTGTCGGAAAGATAATTTGCTTGGATTTTGTGTCTAAACAATAATACATCTTCAATTACTCGATTTTAAATCTAACGGTCAATAATAATTGTGACACTCTTGTGTAAAAAATAAATAGTCTCATTATATACATTTCCTAAAAATATAGGGCCGCACATGATATCCTCTAAAAATCATCGATTGCCGGATGCCTACCCCCTTCCCATAGTAATGTTTAGTACAAATGCTTTGTCTCTCTCAGGCATTCCTTGGGGAAAGGGACTATAAAAAGGGCACAATAGATATATCCATAAATCTTCAACTGGAATGCGATTACAAGCGTACGCATGATATCCTCTGTTGGGAGGGCATGAATGGTATGCATTAGAATTTCCTCGATTGAAAGGCGATCAAATGCACCAAAAAATAGTAAATAAAAGCTATAAGAAAGGTAAAACAAATCTAAAAAATACTGAAATATCGGAAAAAGTAAATAAAAGGATAAATAGAAAAGAATAATTTGGAGACTAAATAAGATGAAAAATAAGTCATAAAACATGGGTTATTGAAAATGAGGATTTATACCTTGGATATTTCAATTTTATTTTTTAAAAAGGGACAAATATAGAAGTTTTTAAATGATCTTAAAAACTAACAAAATCTTCTAAAGAAGCCTTTATGCTAGGATTTTTTTTATTGATATTTTTTACATTTTTTTATACAAAAATGTTAGCATTTATTTGAGCCTGACGAGTTGTACACTTGGAACTCACCTCGCCCATAAATCCCGAGTTACTATGCTGAGTCGGCCGAGTCCAGCACGAATGCATACTCGCAACCCGAAAGTAGGCTTCCAACTGGTGTACATTAGGGTACTCGGAAAATATTGTGCCACTAATACACTTTTATCTAATGACAAAGATTGTGAAAGCGAGTCGTAGATGCCCATACCAACCCTACGATCATAAATCCAACTTCTCCAGTATTGTAACTGTTCAAACATAGGTGTTCCTCATATCCCATAGCGCAATGGTGGATGTAATTAACAAGGTGTCCATGGGTGCTTTAAGTTGTGTTAATACTCGGGATGAATTTATTTCATCTTCACAATGTCCTTTCTTGTAGGAAAATGTTTATATAAGGTTGCAACTTTACCTCTACAATTATGGATACACCTCAAAAAAACCATTGGAAAAAATAGTTTTAATGATGAAAAACCCTTTGATCGATCATCTCGACATCGAGATGTATGACCATGAAAAATAAAAAGATTTTAAGTCTCAGAAATAATGCATTTTACAACATATTATTTACACCTTCCATTTTCAAGATTTTCATATGTTTATAGATCTACTTGATTTTAACCATTTTTGAAATTTTAAATTTTATAATTAGATATAAAAATAGATTTTGAGATAATCCGAAGAACATTTACATGAAAATTATATACCATGATAAAATTTGAAGATACACCTTACGTCTACAGCTACGGATGCATTGGTATGCCAACTGCACTCTTTCTTGTATCATTGCCAAATAACAAATGGTCATTTTGAGTAGTTACTTGTGCGCTTCGACAATTGCAGTGGGATATTTTTCTCTACACCTTTTTTTGTTAGGTAGATCAGTGGGGAATACAGGCCCCTACCCATTTTAGAATGTTTTATAAGGCAATATAATCGAAGCATTAACGACATTCGAGAGTTCAGAGGTCATGCTTCTCCTTGTGATAGACATCTGTGAGAATGTTGTATTCACTTCTAGTGGAGTGGAACTTCCATGGAACATTCTTTTGAGGTGAACTTTCCAAGTGGAAGATCTAAACTCCTCCATTAGTGTCGGTTAAAGCTCTTACTTTAGTTCCTATATTCTTCACCTCTCTTTCTTTTCTCCTTCTCTCTCTTTCTTTCCCTTTGTATCTATCTCTGTGCATCTAAAATCTTTTGCCCCAAATATACTTGCTTATTTGTGTATAGATCTATGTCTCTCTATCTCCTTCCCTCTCTCATGTCTGGTTCTTGTCTTCCATTTGTAACTTCATCCTACCTTAGATGGAATCCACTACTAAATGTGTGTGAGCCCATCATGAGAACGTGGTCTTGATCATGGAGGAGAGGTTCATCTCCATGGGAGAGTGGTTTTCCGCACGATAATGGGTTCTCGAACCACCACCACAAGTTGTTGCAGAGGTGCAGGCTCCCTACTTCATCTTCCATCTGCCCACCAAGAATCAAACTTTAAACCTCTTATAAAGAGGTCTTTTATCATAAGGTGCACTAACCAGCGCAC